TAAATCGGCTCCGTCGCAGTCGGCCTGCACTTTTGCCGCGACGTGACGTCGCGGTGCGAATAATCGATTTTTCCCGGCGCACGATCGTCGACGCCCCGAGCTCCGCATGTAGTTTGTTGTAATAACGAGGAATTAATTAGAGAGAATGCGGATGTGCGTACGTTTGTCCAGTACTGTATTAAAGAGAGAAGAGAGAGGAGAGAGAGAGAGAGAGAGGGAAGGTATCGCACACCTGTCTCTCGTATATTGAATTCTCGATCGTCATCGATCGTCTCGAGCCGTCAGATTCGTGGATCCTCGGATTCTGAAGGCCGTTGCGAGCTCTCGGAAACTTGAGAAACTTTTAGATTTTTACATTCTCGAGTCGCGAGATTTCCGAATCTTGGAATCCCCGAGTTCTTGAATCCCTGAATTCTGAAATCTCGAAGGGCGATACGCTTAGAAATTAATTATTGATCGGACAAGATCTTTCTCGGAGGTTCTCGGATGTATACGCCAAAAAATATCCTGGAAATTTCCGAATCCGTGAGATTTTCCTGGATATTCGTATATGACAAAGCCTAGGAAAATCTATGAACGATGGACGCTTTCGATATGTTTTTTATCATCGGGTTCTTAGGTCCCGCGGTCGCAATTTCCCGTACGCCGAGGCTCGAGAATTACGAATCCAATTTCCGAGGTGAGACCTAATATATTATTCTTTTCCTCAATAAAAGAGAAATAGAGAGAAAGGGGGGGGAGGGACAGGTGTCCAAAATTTGTGGTGTATTGTACGAGCTGGTATTTTTTCGGTGTTCCGCGGCGATAGAGTGTAAAATTAGCGACAAGTAATATGCATAAAAAAAAAAAAGAAAAGATGGAGACCGCGGTCGTCGTCGGTATACATAGAGGTATTTACGTAAGCGGCGTCGTAATGTGTATAGATAAATAATTTTGGGAAAGCGACGCGCGAATGCCGTGACGATGATGTTACTACCGCATGACGAATAATAACACGATTAATTATTATTAACGATTATTATAATTAAATATTGTCCCGATTATTATTAGAGAGAGAGACGTATGGAGATTTATTACTGCGACCACGAAAGCTCGCAAAGAAGAAAAAAAAAACTTTGATCTTTTATCGCAAGGAGAACATACAACCAAATATATAAGCGTTTGTAAGGCACACGTGAAACAAAATAAGTTTAAACGCGCGAGAAAAAGAAAGAGAGCCGAGAGAATGAAAGAGAAAATGGGGAAAAAGTGAAAGCGCGAACGCGTGAGTGCGTGAAGAAAAGAGAGCGAGCGAGAGAGAGAGAGAGAGAGAGAGAGAGAGAGAGAGAGAGAGATAACGTGCGTGAGAAACACTAGTTCCGTTTTTGAGTGTTGAGAATGTTCATTTGTAATTGTTTAAATCTAATGAGAAATGTACTGTAAAACCATAAGTACTATAGGCACTAAAAATATATCATTTGTTGACATGAAAAAATAAAGAAAAACCGATTGTGTGGCATGAGTTTTGTCCGCCGGGATCAACTAAGAGAACGTGTGTACACAGGCAAGACACACATACGTGATTGCAGATTGCGATGCATATTGCGTGCGTATACGAATCACACCCGTGTATTTCATTAGTCTACATCTCTATTTTTTTCCTCTTTTTTATTATTATTCTTCTATAACGATAACGAAGCCGCGAATTGAAACGCGCGATACGCCGCACACCGTGGCCGTTGTGAACCGAGAGCGCACCATCGAAATTGTGATTTCGTCAACGTCTCAATTAGACGATTTCTCGAACACGAACGATCGAGCATCGAGCTTCAGAGTCTAGCGTTTAATAGTGATATATATATATATATATATATGATACAATATCGTGAAAAACCGTTACCTTTTTGTAGTAAGAAAACAGGGTTCCCCGTCGAGCCGCGTCGAGGAACTCCGGATTGAGGTACCATTAAAGCGCAAGTGTGACAGATAGACCATTAAATGTTCATCTTGTCAAGTCGATTGAAGTTCATTCCAGCGCTACGACTACATACGCGACGTGTCGGTTTACGTTCTCCGTCACTTATCCGGGAGAATTATCCGTGTTATCTAAAGTTGCATCGGAGATACGCGGCTTATGAGAGACAACGGCTGCGCCGAGGAAAAGGACGTGTGAGAGGTAAGTGACACTGATATCATTTAGATCACGCGGATAATAATGTCCTTTGCAACATTATATTTGTTATGTACAATTACCAATCGATAATGTAATAATTTATACACTAGAAAAGGTCTAAACGATACAATTGTTAATCGATACGCGAGAACCATTGTTAAAGTTGGATATGGGTTGTGTGTAAATGTGACAAAATATATAAATTGTAACGATAATCTCGCCGTAGGCGAAGACATTAGATTCGCTCGTGCGACACGCTCGCTAAATTTGTCCGCTAAAACATTTATTACCCCTTCTGTAAATGTTAAAAAAATAGTGCAATTCTCCTCGGCTATCTCACGTGTTTTCCAATATCGATTTTACAATTAATCCTTAACAATCGTCCGAGTCGTTAAAGTATAAAGAGAATATAAAAATTTCATATATATTTCTAATATCAGACTTAATTTTTTTGTTTTGTATGTAATGTGCTAAATGGCTAATTATCAATAATGTTGGAAAACAGTTGAGGTGATAATCGATTATGTCAATCATAATCAACGAGTCTTCTCGGGTTAAGGGTTAATCGAAATGATTAGAACTCACAATTGCAATTTTCACTTTGCAACAGTTGCTTTCAGTAAAATTTATAAAGAGGATAACGTCACCGTTGTCACAGATCGTATCCTCCCGATCACTATACCGACTATCGTTATTACTGCTGCTGTTGCTGCTGTTGTTGCTGTTGCGTGGAATTGCTGATGGTTTCCATTTTCTGCTCGTTCTTTTGATTCGACGAGTCCTGCTTCCTCTTCTCTTCGTCGCTATCCTTCGCCGGAGGTGCCAGCAATGCGTTCAGCAAGCCTTATACAAAGCACACACGTCGCATTATTAATATAGTCATTATAACTTATCTCAGCGGCATAATTAATTTAGAAAATTGTTAATTAAATCGTTTTACTCACCGATGTTCTTTCCCTTGAACGAGGTTCCTACCGAAAAGAAAGGTTTCTAGTAGGACACATAGCTATCATTTTAAAAATCTAACTCGATATTCGCGTTCGAATCGATTAATTAGAATTTAATTTTTTTTTTCTGGAAAAAATCGGCAGTGTCAATTTTTCATTTTCTCATTGTCGAGAGGAGACGCGAATTTCGAACACGTCGTGGGAATTTTTCACTCACCGTTGCCGCGATACTTATTCAGCTGCTGGTACACCTGCTTCATCCGCTCGATATTGATGCGCGAGCTTTTACTGTGGTTCACCATCGGCAACGAGTACTCCTTGCCGATGATGCACTTGGCGGCGTGTTGGATGCTGAGCGGCGCGTTCCAGGGCTCGTGGATGTATCTGGTCGGGAAGTTCTTCAGCACCGGCAGGTAGCGCCTGAATGAGCGGGAGAATGAGATTGATTTTTATCCCGAGATACATCCCCCTCCCCCCTCCCCCTCCCCCCCCGATCCCTCGTACGTGAATGCGCGCACATAAGCGTAAATTCATTTACGAGTTCTTTTTAGAAAATGAAGTGTAGGGAAACGCGACGATAAGTGGAACGTATCAACGCCAATGTTCGCTCGTTCGTTTTTGAGCTTCCGCGAAAATTGCTGAAAGAGGAAGCGTTACTCTGCAAAAATATTAATAGTTTAATAACCGCACGCGCTGTCGCACCGCCGACGATTCGTCACGGTAATCTTTTGCACGATTAAGCTTTAATGGGGCTAAACTCTTTAATGTTCCATCTATCTTGCGGCTGAATTTCGCTTCGCTCGGATTAACGCCTGATATGTTACAAATTAAGATCAATCAAGATTAAAATTTCCATTAGTCCGGCCATCGCGTGAGCGTTAATCACTGGCCCGATAATCATCGTACACGCAATCGTTAAGGTAAACGTTATTCCGGGAGGGAAAAAAAAAACACGCGCCGACAAATATGCGTGTAGAAATTTTTTTTCAAATTTTTCGTGTTTCATTCTCGTTTTGAAAAGGAATTTTTAAAAAATGCTTTTTCAAATCAATTACCTGATATAATCGCCGTTCGGATCCGCTTTTCTGCCGAATCGTACGGGGCAGTAACAGTGGAAAAATTGCTGGAAGAACGAGCTGCACGACAGCCACATCCACATGCCGGCATTAACGGACCAATCGGCGTCCAAGAGAAGCTCGTCGAATACCTTAAAAAAATACATGAATTGATTAACAAATCGGCGAACATGATTTGGCGATCATTGGACATTGGTATTGACCCATTAATGCCACTTAAAACTTCTCGCGCCTATTAAATATCTAACGTTAATCCCGTTAAGCCTCGTTAATTTCGATTCCCATTCAGGAATGAAATAATTTATATAGTCGCTTTGTAGCACAACCAATTTATTTATTTATTTATTTTTCATCTGGAGAAATATATTATGCTAGCGAATGCGCTTCACGTATTTCCGGGAGGAGGATCTCGCAACAAGAAATAATCTTACGATGTCTGTATATTAATGAGAGGAAAGAATGAACGGATGGAGAGAGAAAGAGAAAGAGTAATGCAACGAGTATCGCGTGTCAATTGAAATGCCAGATATGCTGTAACATTTTACCTTCATTCCTTCCTCCCATGAGATCCAAAGGTCGCCCCTGGTCAAGAAACAAGCCACCGCGTGTCTGGCCAGGTGATGTATCCAACCCTCCTCCCGCAGCTGCGTCATGATCGCATCGATCCATGGAAATCCTGTTTGACCCTGGCGTGAAGAAAAATTAATTTTCATTTTGTCCATGAAAATTTCTTCGAAATTTTGCATTAATTCCGAAGTAGCTAATTTTGAGGTAATTTTGTAGATAAATCTACAAAAGTGTTACACAAGATGACTTTTTTCGCGAACGAATCGAAAGATTTTAATCTTCTCTAAGTATTTTCTCGTATAATTTATATAACAAATTTGACAAACTCTTGCGGAACTTAAGAAAGCAATTATTAACATTTTTTTTTATTAGCTAAATCACTTATTCGATTATGCGAACGTTCGTTATTCGCTACGCGAGCCAAATTGCGAAAGAATTGCCCGATGGAATATAACTCACGTTCGCCCACTTTGCGAGCGCCTCCACGTTCTTGTCCCACGGTATCTGCACGCAAATCGGATTGCCCTGCATCCGATCGAAATTCGGATTCTTCGTTGCGGCACAGTAAAAGAATTCACGCCAGAGAAGCTGTCCGTGCAACGACAGCGGCGGCACCGCTTTCTTTATCTGAAACGGTATCGTTGACAGGGAACCCAAAGTAATTATTCGCTTCCAATATCGCTGAAAAGTATGGTATAAGACGATAAAAGTGACATCGTCACTCTAAGAAGAAAAAAAAATAGAAGGTAGAAATAGATGAAAAGTTTCGCCGACGTAACATTAATCGGGAAACATCGAGACCATTATTCTCTCACAACTACGAGTTTCCCGCGCGAAACAGCTTTCATGACTTTCCGCAGGAATAAAAATCCCGCGGTTGCAATTAACGCGTCCTCGAAGTTTCGTTTAATTATTACCGCGAAGTTCCGCGGAGAAAAGTGGAGAGAGAGGAGGGAAGAAGCTTTGCCAGACGCTCCCAGGAAAGGGTATACTTCGGGCGCGATAGATATAGATTTCTGCATCATCGTTTCGCGAGCACGTCTCGTACCTTCTTGTACAGATCGGTGAGCTGATAGTAAAACAATCGCGTACTGAGGCATCCGAATCGTAGATAAGGCGATAGCCCGGTCTGACTCGGCAGCAGGGACTGCGGTGTCATCTTCGGTCTGCCGAAGCTCGCCACCCAAGCCTTCCTCTCGAGATGACGCTCGAGCCTGGCCAAGGCCTCGCTCTCGCCGCCGACCCACACAGGAGGCAGCAGACATTCCGTATCGAAGCCTGTAATCGCAAGAAACGGGGGCTTATACATAGGCAAAAAGCGATTCCCAATTTTCCAATTTCAGAGAACGTTTTCGCGCATTAGACACGATCTTACGCACATTTGGTTTCCTTTATTATTTTTATCATTCTTATAAATTCGTGTAGCGAAGTTAATAGTCTCTGAATTCGAATAGCCCCGATTTTATCTAAATTAAATCAAGATTTTTTAATTTGGTAGATCGGAAGAAGTTTTGAAATATCTAAAAATTTGGCCAGATACTGAATGGACAGTTTTATTAAGAAGTAGTCGGCTCGAGATATCGACCAAAGAATCTGTCACTAAAGTTAAAGAGTCGTAGACAAGCCGAGCAGCACAATGTTATTCGGCGAGAAGATCTCGTTTCTTCGTCTTCGGCACCGTGGAGAATTGTAGGAAAAAAAAAAATTGAGAGCCTTCGGGATATATACGCTGACATTTAATAACAATAAAAAGAAGCGAATAATGACGGAATAACGAGCGACATTTGAACGTGAGGGAGACAATGCTGGCTATGCGTTGACAGCGAGCTATTACGCCGTATTGAGGAGACTTTAAGACGTTTGGCGTTTAATAACAAGAACAATCATCAGGTAATTTAATAATCGATCGGATCTTCTTGTATCCGCCGCAAATGATGCAAAGCAACAAATATAATGCGCTCGGACGTTATAGATTACGACGCGTCCTCGCGGAATGAATTACGCGAGATAATACTCGATTGCACTCTTACGAACAGCGCATTAATGCTGCATCGACTAATCTGCCGCGAATGAATTCTCCATGGCGAGAACGATGGACTCGCGTTAATCTATGAATCTCTGCCTGGTCCGGAAGATCCGCGTATGCAATGCATATCTTCGTTATTGCCTGATATATCACCAAAATAACACCCCAGACGAGCATTCTAATCTGTACCGGACGGCAAAATTTATTTTTAGTAATCAATTCTGATCGAAGCGATTTTTTTTTTTCAACCAAGTCGAGATTCCTCAAAATTCGTTAAAATTGTAATCTGCGAATTTTATGATCTGTGATGAGTCAAGATCGATGGGAAATTATTATTTAGATAATTTATCATGCGATTTAATGGGAAAACTTAATGGTAAACGTTAAAAAGCTGAAAGATCGATTTTTGCTCACCGAGTTCCTCGAGGGTGGGCACCCCGTAATGGTCGTCGTGGTCGTCTTTCAGGGGTGTGTAAGCGCTGCCGATGCAAGCGGCAGTCACCGTCGATACCGGCGGTTCCGGCGGGTCCATGCCGGCGATGACGTTTTGAAATTGATGATAGGTCAACGGTGGTTTCCCACCATTTCTCTCTATGATCCTGAAACGGGCGAGGACGGGAACGGTGGAGTCGCGAAATGGCTTTGCGAACAATGGCGAGAGTTGCAACGTAATATTTAATCCTAGCGGATACACATTAAAGTTTCATTCCGAATACTCGAACACAAGTGTAGCTGACTATTTAACTAATATCCAGTTCTCAAAACATATTTCTTCTTTGGAGAACTAGATGTTTCTTCTCTCTTTCTCTCTCTCTCTCTCTCTCTCTCTCTCTCTCTCTCTCTCTCTCTCTCGTCTCCACGTTTTCTCTTTTTTTTCCTTGTGAATGTATCATTAAAAATAAAGTTACAGAATTATAGAAAGAGCAGAAAGAAATTCGTGGTTTTTAATTGAAATTCTTTAAATCGATCGTATGAATTAAAGAGCTTATTGAATAAATTTGAATAAATTAGTTATCGAAATTAGCGAATCTATGTCATTAACCAAAATTATTGACTCGATGAATTTTTAATTATTTGGATTGCAAAATTGAACGTGGGGTAATTGAGAGGATTTTTCGAACCTACTCGTCTAGTTTATAAAGGGTGTGCGAGACTCTCTGGACCACCGAGATACCGAGCTCCTTGCAGAGGGCTGAGATATTGTGATCTCGGACGCGGCCGAACGGTTCCGGATCCTCCTCGAAAGTCAGGTTCGTCGTGCCCCATTCTTTGAAGAGTTTGGGGAGCGCGTCGGCCGGCTGACCACGGATCACGAACAGCCGGGAATTTAGTTTCCTCAGGGAACTGTCCAGGTCCTCTAAACATTGCAGCAGGAACCTGTCGCGCGTAAAAGAAAGAAATCGATCAGATGTCCCAGAGAATTATTAATAATTTTTTAAACAATGTAAAAATAAATATACGTATAAATCCTAAAATTATAATTTATATCAAAATTAACGGAACACTTTTTTTTTAATTTATTTCTTCACGTGAAATAAAGTGATATAAAAAAATTATCGTGTGTGAAATTACCAAAGAGGAAAAATGATACTTTGTTAAATATCTGTTACAATTAAATTTTGTAATAGTTAGAAAATGACAATTATAAAAGCAAAGTGTGAACACACGCATCTACGAACTTGTCATTTGTCGTTGACTCATTTTTGGACAATGTCGCCGCTAATGTCCTCCCCGTCAACTGTGATTCAATGGGATTATCGACAACATCTAAGCGTGCGATCGCTTAGGAAACGGTTACATAACGCTTAATCAACATGACAAATGATCGACGACGAGAGTCACGCTCGAATGTCCGTCGCAGTAATGCATCGAGATTGCGTGATGCAATGAAGATCTACTGTTTGTAGAACAATATCGACTAGTCATTATCGGCGAATTGAATAATCGTGTTTTTCTACCAACGCGATTTTATCTAAATCGAAAATGCAAGAAATTTTACATATCATTAAATTATTCGCGGCGTCGATTACTTAGAACTAGAATATCTGAATATTTCTCCATCGTCAAGTTCGTCCGCGACAAGATTGAGGAAGGCGAAATAACGGAATGAAATAAAGCGAAAAATTTGTAGCAAACAAATGATTTGTTTCCGCTGAAACAATGAACGATACGTTTGATTTTCGTTAGACTTCAGAGTTGGAGTTGGATCGATCTTTCGCGATCCCGCGGGTCACAGCGGGTGCTCACCTCCATTTATTGATGCCAACATTGGTACTTCCGGCGAACCAGGGGTCCAGCACGAAGACGCACCGAAAAGTGGACGCCCCCGCGAGGCCTTCCCTCAGCGAGGGGTTGTCGTGCAGACGGAGTCCCTTACGGAACCAATGAACCGTATGCTTCCCGCCGTCACCCCGAATTCCCGAGGCCACCCCTTGGTTCATCTCGTTATTACCACTTCCCGTCATCTTTCCTCGAACCCCCTCGAAGAATAGACATCCTTAATTAGTTGATTCAGCGCGGAAAAGTGGTTACATTGCTGTTCCGCTTGCGATAGATTACGATACACTAAATTGACATTTATTAACAATACGATAGTCAAACTTTTCGCAGCGTTTACTATTTAGAATTTTTTAGAATCTTTTCGGAATTTTCTTGAAAATTTTTTGAAATTTTCAGAATTTTTTGGGGGAATTTTGATATCTGATAATATAGAATTGAAAATGCTGCTTGAAATTCATTGTGATTAATATTTCTGAACACAATCGTTTTTTCTTGGTTTTTAAGATTTATATGAGCAAGAAAGAGCAGTTTTACTGGGTATAAAAATCTAAAAAATAATTTTATTGGGCCATCAAAATAATTATGCAGACCATTCGAATTAGTTGATAGAATATAAAAAAATATTTTCATTATATTTAAACATCTTGTGATAATAATTTTGATGACAAAATTAATTTTCAAATCTATATCCGGCCAAATTCTTAAATCCTATAAAATTGTTCTTTCTGCGAATTGGCTTTCAAGAAGTCTCGCGCAGAAATATGAAATCTAAAAATCCTCTCGACTTTCTCTTCTGTTGTATCGAGATTCTTTCTCGATTACAGCAGATCAGTGTGCCGAAAAGCGCACGTCTTCAATTTCTTTACCCTATCGATGTCTCAAAGAGAGAGAGAGAGTCCGGCGCGACGATACGAAATCCGAAGAAGTATGTCCCTGGATCGATTCCCGTGGGAGCTCTTACAAATATGTCTCGTCGCCAGTCTGTCCGAAACGTCTGTGCTAAAGGATCCGTCCATCTTCCCTTTTGTTTCACCGCTAAGTCGGAAAATAAGTCGGCCCGCGCGACCTTGAATCCGAGGAACTTTGTGCGGAAAATTCGATTTTCTCGGATCTTCTTCTGCAAAACGCTCCCTCGAAGGGACCACGCCTCGATTGGCCTACTCCGATTTGGCGCCAAAGACGAGAGCGATTATCAGCGCTTTGAACACCCTCGATTCTCGCTAAAAAATTACATCTTTCCCCCGTCAATTTCCACCATCAGTCTACTTACAGTTAAACAATCGTAATAAAAATGTTCGATCTTAGATGCCCCCGTTCTCCAATTTCTTCCATTTATTGTAATTTTCCTGGGCCTTTTTCTCACTTCTATCTAACAGTTAGTAAAGTGTCTCTCCTTCGAGAGACATTGTCTTTTCGAAACAATCGACAATAATTAAATTTTCTCCGAAGTAAAAGCATAATCTTACTTTCATAATATCAATCACGTAATTACGAAAGCTCCACTTTTATTACTTATAAAATTAACAGGTAACTTCGATAACTCATTCTTCAGCGGATCCTTGACATTCTATTCGCATCGCATAGAATTTGCATAGAATTTGCTGCTAGACATCCGGCGCGCTATCGCGAAACTGTTGCAGCAGCGTGGTTTTGTCGCCGTGCGATGATTCATGCGATGTCGTGAACTCCATTGTAAGGTGAAATTAGCGTATCTATTCTAGTATCTGCGAGCTTGTACATTATTTCGAGGTTTACCTGAAACGCGAAAAAAATCTTTTCAAAAAGTTCCGATTTCCCGAGGGCGGAAGAAAAATAAAGAAATTCATGAAAAAGTTATCAACTTTGTAAACTATAAGACAGTCGTCACGCACAACAAGGTAAATGAGATTTTACGGAAACGGACTTTCCCTGCCAAGGCAACGTTTCAATCTATTTGATCCCCAAAGGGAATATAAAACGTTTTAACTATAACGTTTATCTGTGTAAACTCCTTCTCTCTCTCTCTCTCCT